AAAATGAACACAAAACGATCAGCTTTAAAAAAATGACTCGTGACTGGAAAAACCGAATGAAAAAAGAATGTTAACAACAGATACTTTTTCACACCCAACCCAGTTCTGCGAAATCAGAATCAACGTTGAGTTTAAGAAAGCGAATGAGCAATTGAAGTGCCATGCAGATTTAAATTTTTCCCACTTGTGACGAATGCAGCTATCGATTTTTTTTGCATGCTAGCATTCTAGTTAACATTCGTGTCAGTCCGCTGTTGGCTCTCACGCTGGCCAATAGAATCTTCCTGCTTATTCGTGGCAGCCAGCTATTGGCTCTCACTCTGGCCAGTAGAAAATGGGCGCAAACTACCTGAAAATTGCCGTAGAAGCATGAAAAAATCGATTATTTCCACTATCGATGGGAGTTGGGAAATGCAAAGTCGGTCTTGTCCTTCCCACTAACTTGGAGCATGTGCATGTAAATTTTGGTGCAAATCCGTCGAAAATTGCAGCTGTGCATTCGACACACACACACACAAAAACACACACACACACACACACAAAAACACACGCACACACACAAATCCTGCCTTTTATAGATAGAAAAGAATATTTAAGTAAATGTTCTGTTTTATAATAAACAGTATTAAACAACATTTACCGGCCTGAATGTCCGAGAAATTTTGGCAGAAAATATTCGTCCTCCGACAGGATTCGAACCTGTATCCTATACGGAACCGTATTTAGCTTGACGTGCCTTTACCGATTTGACCACGAAGGAGCGTTTGGTTAGCAAGGTCGATTTTTCTGTCTTTAAACTTCAATCTTCCATGAATCTCTCACGCACATTTATATCTGTTCATGGCGTATCCTAATGTAAACAAATGACGTCACACATTATGAAATGGACAAAGTCCGACAATTATTTTGAGACATTTTTAGGTTTAACATTCTTTTTATAGATATAATCAATATTTAAGTAAATGCTCTGTTTATAATAAACATTATTAAACAACATTTACCGGCCTGAATGTCCGAGAAATTTTCCTCCGACAGGAATCGAACCTGTATCCTATACGGAACTGTCATATAGCCTGACGTGCATTTAACCATTTTGGCCACAGAGGAGCGTTCGGTTAGCAAGGTCGATTTTACTGTCTTTAAACTTTAATCTTCCACGAATCTCTCACGTACATTTATATCTGCTCATGGCGTATCAAATGTAAACAAATGACGTCACACATTATGAAATGGACAAAGCATTTACTTAAATATTTGTATCTATAAAAAGAATGTATAAACATAAAAATGTCTTAATATATATATATATATATATATATATGTGTGTGTGTGTGTGTGTGTGTATACGCATACAATTTTTTAATAAAACTAAAATTGACACCCGTGTAATATTTTTTTTAATTATTTTACCCCAAGCAAGGCAATAAAGTCACTAAAGCGCAATGGGTTACTGACTGTGAAAGAATATGAGAAAGATAAAAACATTATTGAAGAAAGAGTATCATAAAATAAAAAAGAATTAAGAAGACAGAAAATAATGATTGAAATTGCATTTACATTTTTAAAGATCAAAGTTAACAGGAAAGCAGAAGACCAAAAGAGAGTTCTACAAGCGAGAACTGCGAGAGAAGAAACTATTGGCATAGGACTTACGGTTTCATCTAGCCATTTTAACTGTAAAATGATGAGACCAATCTAATCCTGCGCTTAAATTCGTAAGGTCTAGGTACCAAAGAGGAAAGCTCATTAGAACAATTACCATGAAATTATTTATAGAAAAGCACAAGTGGCTGCATTACGGCAGTGGGAATGTGACTGAAATTATGAGAGCTAGTTTCCATTTCTGTCTATCAGCTATTCCTGAGAAACTGACGAATTGTATAAGCCGAGATGTAAAGTCATTTTTATGGCTCCTGTATTTAAGCTGAATTTATTTTCTAATAAATATAATGTTTTCAATGGACAAAACATTTAAATTTTAAATTTGACCATACTGCTGTCAGAGAAGGGCAAGCTCCGCGGATCTTTTAAATTAAATCTGACTGATTGTTAAAATCAAATATTTTTCCATTATGAGAGTTCAGACCATGTGTTTTTAGAAATTTCTAGTCAAGCAGTTAATATTGACAATATGATAGGAGGTCTGTCCAGAAATAATCTAGCCATTTAACAAAATAAAATAGCACCTCTAGGACAATGATGCTTTAGTTCTCTAAAAATTCTTCTACTTGAGACCGCATATGTTATTCAAGTCTACATTTTTCAGACAACATACAACAAAATCACATCACTATGGTCCCATCCCTGATATTTCTACATTTTTACGCGAAAACAGAATGCGCTTTGCAGGACACTGCTGGCGAGCAAAGCAAGACCTCACGAGTGATCTACTACTCTGGACACCATGGAGCAAGACGGGTTGGTTGCACAGCAACCACCTACATTAACCAGATATATTATGACAGAGAATGCCATCATTCCGACCTTGATGCAGGACAGTGATTGTTGATATGATAGATTCAGGAATACAGTAGCTTAAGAAAAGTTTTTAGTCAGGAGAAATAAACTACATCCAATTTCAAAATGTAATTACGTAATCCCTACTCAACATAAATAAACAGTATTTGGAACTGGTATAGAGTAGGTCCTCCATTTTCTAGTGTCAGTGCTTGTATTCGATTTTTCATGGAGTTGATCAAGTTATCAACAATCGTCTGATCGATATTTTGCCACTCCTTTAACAATGTTTCTTTAAGGGTTGCCACTGACGGGATTTTGGTTGCACACTCTTGAAGTATTCGGTCAAGGTGCTTCCAAAGTTGCTGTATTGGATTCATATTATGGCTTTGGGCTACCCATGGCAGTGACCTGATTCCTTGCGATTCCTTCCAGACCTTTGCTACTTTGCTCGTATGATATGGCGCTCCATCTTCTTAAAAAAACGTAGACATTCTTTTCAATCTGATTGGTTTCAAATAGTGGGAGTAGTCTTTTCTTTAATATTTGACAATATTTTGGACCATTCAACCGCTTGTCAACAAGAATCAGCTCAAATTTCCCTCAAAACCAGACAGCACCCCACACTATTACTCTAATCCCTCCATGTTTCACGGTCGCCTGCAGATATTCAGTGTTCCAAGTCCCATTATGATTTCTCCAAACATAAACTACTCTTGAATTCGAATATTGGCAGAATTTACTTTCATCTGACCAAATTACAGACTGACAAAATTCATAATCTTTGCTCTCAAATTCTCTCGCCCAGTCCATATGCCTGTTCCTGTTGACCTCTAGAATCAAGAGCTTCTTTCTTGAAACTCTTCTTTGATAGCCTAGCTCTTTCAGAGTCTTTCTAACCGCGTATGACGACATCTCCATGCTGTTGGCGAAATCTTTGATGCTCTGACGACGGTTTATGATGACTTCCCTCTTCAGCGCCCTTTTACTTCGCACAGACACGATGAACGTTGTTCCACACGACAATGACCTTCTTCATTAAATTTCTTGACAATATTATTAACCGTTTGATGTTTAACCTAGCAATTTCTCAATTTGACTTTCCACCCTGATGCCATCCAATTATTTGCCCTCGTTAAAATTCACCAATTTCCTTATTTTCGCGAACTTTCATTGCAAAATATAAGTAAACTATCGTTCGTAGTAGAGTAGCTTGATACTAACAGGGTATTGTCTGAAAAAAATGAGACGTTATTACACAAGCCAAAATTGCTGTAATCAAAGGTGGCTAAAGACTTATCATAGACCACTGTATGCGAGATAACTCGATCAAATAATAAAACAAATAACGTCGTAAGGCGGGTCCTAACTGAAGGTCTGAACTGGTGGTACTAAGGAATGCAGCTTTGCATTAACTAATATTCTAATCTAAACTTGATGGAACATAAATTCGGATGCTGAGAGCTATACTTAACATCTCTTAGGGACAACATCCAACTAAATTACAGGCTCTACGGACCCAGCTATGTTATTTCTACAATCTTACGCGAACGCAGAATACACTTTGCAGGACACTGCTAGCGAGCAAAACGAGAACTCTAGCTTTCTAGACACCTAGCCGTGGAGCAAGACGGCTTGATCGCTCAGGAATCACCTATACTGGCCAGCTATGTTATGACACAGAATGCCACCCTAATGACATTCCGACCTTGATGCAGGACCGTGGTGGTTGATGAGATGCTCTCATAAATGTCCTAGCTAGCTTGAGGGAATAAGATAAAATAATTGTAAGGGTTGCTTTTCGTTGAAACCGCAACTCGGTTAAACATAGTCATTACTTCGGTGTTTGAAATTGGGTACTGAGACTGTTGAATGCCAATACGAGCAGTATCATTATCCTACTCACCATCTTCAACACTTTCGGTGCAATTGTTACAGAAACTGTGATAATTCTGACGTGTGTCCTTTGTATGAAAACAACGTTGAAATTAACAAAAATTGAAACGATTTTATCAGCGTTTTTCGCAAAACCTTTTAGTATCGTTCTCTAAATTCTTAATCATTTCACACCAAGTAAGGCGATGATGCCACTAAGACGCAAGGGAGCTTCTAGGAGTGAAAGAGAATGAGAAAAACTTAAGAGAAGGAACTGGTAACTCAATCCGAAACAGAAAACATGAGATAAACCTCAACTCCTGCTCCGATCTTGATATAGGACCGTGATTGATGGCTTTATAGATTTACGAATGTCCCAGCTAGCTCGGTCGAATATACACGTATTTGATTCTTTATTTCCTTCGAGATTATCCTTCAAATTTATACTATCCACACGATAATGGGAAAAGTTCTTCATCGCATTAGTCGCAGTAATAGAAAGAATGCTATGAAAGAAAATCCAGACTGAAAATTCAAACTGAATTGCCTGTGAACTTGACATCCTTCTAACTACACCTGCAGCCACGCCGGCCCCAAATATAATATTCGCATCCTTTGAATCTTCTATTCGCATTCTTTGAATATCCACCGTGAGCTTCTCTGTGGAGATGCAAGAATGGGAGTTTCGTTACTCGGCAGCGCTGGGCCTTCATCCACCATCGTCCATGCCTACACTAAGGAGAATTCACCACAGTTTCAACACTCAGGATCTTGACCAAACAATACGCTACCATTATATCACAGGACAGACTGATTAAAGAATTAAAGGATTAACGGATTAATGATTAAAGGATTAACATTAATAAGAAAATGTTGCAAATAATTAGAAAGACACAACTGAATGCCAATACATTCGTGATATGAGTAATCATTGGGGTTTCCGTGACAAAAATGGTTAAAGTGATGTCTATGAAAGTTGAGTACTTGTGGTATGGGGGGGGAGTCAAGTCTTGACTGAAGAACTCCAGGTATTCAAATTCTTAATTCTACAATCATACTTAGCTGGCATTAGGAGAATTTAGTTTTATAATGAAGCCGTGTGTCGATTAAATGAATAACACGAAGCTTGAATCTCCCATGATTAACATTACATTTTATTTCCCTCCGGTACTTCGTCAGTTACTGTCATCCAGTGTGCGTGTGAGGGCCAACTAGAACCTTTTCACCCAAACCAGGCTCTTAAATTATCTGAGAGACTGTCCAACTACTCTCTGGGGTACTTCGTTATATAAACACCTAATCAACAGTTTTTTTGTTTTTTTTATATCGTCAATATTAACTTTTTATCACATCATCTTGTCAATATTCACTTTTTGACTATAGAAATTGATTGCTTCTGAAACATAGACTGAACTTTTTTTTTCTTTTTTTTTAATCGTTTCACCCCAAGCAAGGCGGGAAGCCACTAGGACGCAAGTGGTTACAGAAGATTTGGAACAAGATCAGATAGGTGTGATAGAGGGAATGGTGAGGAGAAGGATAACTGGAGATGTCGATTGACATTACATTTGAATAGATTATAGCTCTCAGGGAAACTAGAATAGGGAAGGGAGTTCCACGGGCGAGAGGTGCGAGATATGAAGCTATTGGAGTAGAAGAGACGGCTAAATTTAATAGTTTCGACAGTGAAAGGGTGAGAGCGGAATGCCAGCCTCGTAGGGCGCTTGAACTCATGAAATCTGGGAACCAGCGAATGCAGCTCCTCGGAACAATTACCATGAAAGTATTTGTAAAAAAAACAGAGAGAGGCGATGGCGTGACTGTAGACGAGATGCCAGAACAGGGTCAGTTATATTGCATATACGCCTCTGGAGCTTATCAAGAACCCCGAGGCAAACAGAAGGGGCTCCAGACCATATATGGCAGCAATACTCCATGCAAGGGCGAATTGTTGATTTGTAAATCTGAAGGATCGATTCCGGGGAGAAAAATTTCCTGGCGCGGCACAGGGAGCCAACTTTCCTTGCGGTGGACGAAGCAATTGACTCAATGTATTTGATCCATCTCAGATCAGCCGTCAACGTGAAACCGAGCAGCCGCAGAGAGGTGCTCTCGAGCTGTTGAGCGTCAGACATTCTAATGGAGGGCAGGGAAGGATCTCTGTGGTGATTAATAGAGAGCAGTTTTGTTTTTGACGCATTAAAGTTGACCAGCCAATTCCTGCCCCAGTTCACAACCGATTGGAAAAGTGAAAAAAAATATAATTTTAAGAATCTATCAAATCTAATTTAAAAGATACTAGCAGAGTAACCCATCTTTGACCGGGTCTTTCATTACTGGGAATTGTTGCCGTTCAATTGGAGCAGTTTAAGTTTAAGTCAGCCCACCCGAAAATCAATATTAGTAACAACATTTGGGTGCAACTGAGGCACATCCCCAAATGAGGGGGGGTTAACAATGTGAATGTGTGGGGGGGGGCTGAAAAGGGAATTAAATAATAATAAATAATATTATTGTAATAATTTAAACTATTTTTATTAAAGTTTTTATGAAAGATATATATCCAAGAACACATAGTATATAATAAAATGTTATAATGGACAAAAGTAGTGGAGAGCCATTGTCGCCAACAATTTGGACTCAAAATCAGCACTGAAGAATTATCTCTCAAACAAAAAAAATTAATCGAAATCGGATGAAAACTGTGCAAATGCATAAACAACATCCGATCACACACACACGCACGCACACACATACATACACACACATTTTGAGAATTATAGATATAGATTTCAATTAAACTACTTAAAATAGTTGCAAATTTATTAATTAAATCGTTTACTTTGTCACTCCCAAGATACAATTTCGATGATGTAAGTCGGTAGATATTAATATGTATATCAATAAAAAAAATAATATTTTAGTAGTAATAATCTTGTGTGTGTATTTTGTAAGATAATCAATTACAAATGACTTTTGTCTCCATTCTATCAGATGCCTAGCTGCATCTGATAGGATGCCTAGCTTCACTTCTCGATGTCGCTATTGACATGAAATGAATCGCTGATCTCCACTTCTGACTAGGAGGTCATCTCATACCAACCTTACAACTGGTTTCTTTGATGATCTGATGTGAAAACTGTCACATCAAAATGATTTTTTTTTTAATTTTTTTTGTTAATTCTAAAAATTAACAAATGTTTGTTCGTTGATTCTAACACGAAATATAGATGACTATAAGCGACTTTTTAGTTGATCAAATTAAGACGTTCTTCCTCTTTTATGTGCCGTGTCCCTTCAGGGCGTGGACGATCCTGATGTCGCCTAACCGTCGTCCAGTAACAAAGACAACACGCTAGTTGGGACACTGAATGTCAGGAAGCGTTACCAGCGTGAAAAAATAGAAAATGGAAAAGCTAAACATAAATATTCTGGGAATATGTGAAACTAGATGGATAAATAATTAAACGATCGATACAGAAACATATATGCGGTTGGAGACAAATAAATAAAAGAGGAGTAGGACTAATATTAGATAGAAACAAGATGAAATGTGTTCGGGAATAGTGACAACTGTTAAAAAGAGTTCTTCTCATTTAACTGAAAGAGAAACCATTCAATATAGCCATCACAGTAGTATATGCCAGTCAGTTATGTGCCATGCGTGATACACGTTTAAGCGATCATGTATCTTTTTATACATGACTGACGAGGTAGATTTCTCCCGCAGTAGGTTGCCATTTCTTTCTGACCAGTTTCCATCCAAGGCTATAGAACCCGGTCTGTCCTGCTATTTACCCATAGCTGGGAGAGAAGAAGAGGATTCATACCTTTTCCAATGATATTAGCACGTAAGTGAATGTAATGGATTTGACTGGAATTCGCACTCGGCTCTCCGTTTCCTCAATCCGAGCCGCTAAAAAATCTGCCTCGTCAGTCATGTATCGAAAGGTACATGATCGCCTAAGCGTGTATCACGCATGGCATATAACTGACTTAATATATGCACCAACGTCACAATGTACAGAAGAAAAGGAAATAGATAAGTTTTTAAGCAAACCAGATAACACAAAAAATCAGTGCATTTATAAAAACAAATTATTTTTTCTTTTTATCACAACTACATTCCTTAAATCAAAATTATGCGGTGAATTATTACGATGAATAAGTGGAGGACTGACCAGTGTGTCTACTTGCCCATTGACAAGTGGGCCACTGATGAAGTGGGCCCCCTATATCAAATAAAAAAGCTTTAGTAATAAAAAGGAATAAGAGCTTTATAAAGTCATCTGCACACTATCAGTGTTATGGGACCTTACCCATAATAACATAATGGACTATTCCATACGTAATAAATACTGCGCCTCAAGAGGAAGCAGAGAGTTCAGTCTAAAGTCTGGAGTGAAGTCAGTCAGGAGTCTGTCAGTCAGAGCGAGCGAGCGAGTCAGTCAGTCGAGTCAGAGGCAGTCCGTGACAATTACTACTAAACTTGATTGTTTGTACTAACACTTTCTACTCCTCTGTATATATTTTTGTTTGTAATATATCTGTGTTATTCCATATCCGCCTTCAAGTTCTTGTTTATTGCTTCTACCTTGGACTATCACCGTGGTACAAGAAACCGGACCATAACAGTGGCGACGAGCGATTCGAACTCATTCGGTGGAAGAAAAAAAAAATTGAACCGGACCTTAACAATCAGTTCGATGTGAGAGGACATTTTTAACGCCAAAGGTCATGAAGGCAAGGTAAAAATAATTCACTGTCCAAAGAGAATTTGGAATCATACATGTTGTTATCCATTGAAAAGGGATTGCTAGATGAATTGGATGCAGAAGAAATTACTGGCAAATCCAAACAATCATCTAGTGAACACAAACGATTGCTCTTAATATAGTGAACAGTATGCAATACTCTATGGTGCTTTTGAACTATCTGTTAATGTATAAAGTGTGCAGTAAACCTTTTAAAAATATCAACCAATTACTTAAAATTAAAACAAATAAATAAAATATACAATTATGACATTCTGTATTTACATTTATCTAATGCCTGTAATATATATTGTACATGTACACTACTGTGATTATTAAGAAATACGCATTTTTCCCACAAAAAATTGAATTCTGGTTTCCATGTGTATTTTTCGAAAATTTTATTTATTCGTTATGAAAATTAAATGATAGCATTTTAGTTGTGATTGGGTCCCCTTTGTCTCCTAACAACCAATATTTTTTTAGACTCAGTCCGCCTCTGCGATAAACGACTGATATCTTGCGTGTGTTGTTTTGTAAAAAGATCTATTTTGTGTTCATATAATCAAACCATATAATAATTATCAATGTGTATTTATTTATATATTTCCTGATCCATTTGAAAAAGGGATATAGCATTATATTTTCTTCATAAAGGGTGATAACAATATTTTCTTGATAACGTTAGATAATATAAGGAATTTTATCATCAGTCATTAATGAAATCATCAAACCATATACTAATTATTAATATGTACTTATATATTTCCTGTCTTATGTAAGGGCCTAAAATACAAGCGGTAATAATAAGCATTTATTTACAAGTAACAATTACATTCGAACAAATATATCACTTGGTTTTATTAACGTTGCCGCAGAAAATGCATCACCCACTACATACAGACGTCCAGATGATACCATACTGATTAATTCTAAATTATTATGGTTGTTTTGACTTAAGAGTTTTCCTCCTAGAATGATTGTCAATCAAAGCATAAAATCTAAGGAGAGAAGTGAATGTAATGAACTCGACTGGAATTTGAACTCGACACGTTGATTCCACGTTTTGGGCCGATAACTTTTACGCTACCCTCATATCCAAATGAACATTTAAAAGTGTTAAAACGGGTCCTCATCGTAAATCCATCTAACATAATCATTTGAATTTCCGCTGAGTTTATTTTACTGGTATTTTCCTTTTCGTTCTTAAAAATGAAATATTATTTGTTGATCAACGTTAGAGATTTTGGGATCGAGAGCCTCTCTCCTCTTTCGTTCCAGTTTTAACATTAAAGTTCGACGTTGTGATTTGATTTCATTCGAGTTCATAACAGAAATTCCCTACTATATTCAACGGACTACTCACCAAGATCTTACTAGAGCAGAACATTGATTAAGTTTTTACAGGAATAAAATAATTGCCTTGATAGTAGTTTTAGAGTATTACTAAAAATGATGTTTATATTTTTGACAGCTTAATTTTTGATACAGATGAATAACTTTTATTACGTCTTCATGATTTAAAAAAATTTTCTTCTTCAAATCTTTTTCTTCAAATCTTCTTCAGGTTTCCTTCAACACCTTTTTCTTCCTCAAACCCTCTACTTGTTTAAGGTTTCTTCAAGTTTCTTTCATCTTCAAGTCTTCTTCAAGTCCTTTTCTTCTTTAAGTCTTCTTCGAGTCTCTTTTTTTTCATATCTTCATATCGTTTATTTTTTTCTTCAAACCTTCTTCAAGTCTCCTTCATCTTCTTCAAGCCTTCTTTTTCAAACCCTCTTTTTCTTTAAGTCTGCTTCAAGTTTCCTTCATCCTCTTGAAACCTTTTTCTTCTTGGTTTTCTTCAAGCCTTCTTCAAATCTCTTTCATCTTCAAGCCTTCTTCAAATCTCTTTCATCTTCAAGCCTTCTTCTTCAAACCCTCTTCTTCTTTAAGTCTCCCTCATCTTCTTCAAACCTTTTTCTTCTTGGTTTTCTTCAAGCCTTCTTCAAATCTCTTTCATCTTCAAGCCTTCTTCTTCAAACTCTCTTCTTCTTTAAGTCTCCCTCTTCTTCTTCAAACCTTTTTCTTCTTGGTTTTCTTCAAGCCTTCTTCAAATCTCTTTCATCTTCAAGCCTTCTTCTTCAAACCCTCTTCTTCTTTAAGTCTCCCTCATCTACTTCAAACCATTTTCTTCTTGTTTTTTTCTTCAAGCCTTTTCTTCAAATCTTTTCATCTTCAAGTCTCCTTCTTCTTCAAACTCTCTTCTTCTTTAAGTCTCCTTCGTCTTCTTTCAAACCATTTTTCTTCTTCAAACCATTTTTTCTTGGTTTTCTTCAAGCCTTCTTCAAATCTCTTTCATCTTCAAGCCTTCTTCTTCAAACCCTCTTCTTCTTTAAGTCTCCCTCTTCTTCTTCAAACCATTTTCTTCTTGGTTTTCTTCAAGCCTTCTTCAAATCTCTTTCATCTTCAAGCCTTCTTCTTCAAACCCTCTTCTTCTTTAAGTCTCCCTCGTCTTCTTCAAACCATTTTCTTCTTGGTTTTCTTCAAGCCTTCTTCAAATCTCTTTCATCTTCAAGCCTTCTTCTTCAAACCCTCTTCTTCTTTAAGTCTCCCTCATCTTCTTCAAACCTTTTTCTTCTTGGTTTTCTTCAAGCCTTCTTCAAATCTCTTTCATCTTCAAGCCTTCTTCTTCAAACCCTCTTCTTCTTTAAGTCTCCTCTTCTTCTCCCTCTTCTTCTTCAAGCTTTTTTTTCTTCTTGCCTTTTTTTCAAACCTCTTCTTCTTTAAGCCTTTTTCAAATCTTGGTTCTTTCATCTTCAAAGCCTTTCATCTTCAAACCCTCTTCTCTTCTTCTTTAAGTCCCCCTCATCTTCTTCAAACCTTTTTCTTCTTGGTTTTCTTCAAGCCTTCTTCAAATCTCTTTCATCTTCAAGCCTTCTTCTTCAAACCCTCTTCTTCTTTAAGTCTCCCTCTTCTTCTTCAAACCTTTTTCTTCTTGGTTTTCTTCAAGCCTTCTTCAAATCTCTTTCATCTTCAAGCCTTCTTCTTCAAACCCTCTTCTTCTTTAAGTCTCCCTCATCTTCTTCAAATCTTTTTCTTCTTGGTTTTCTTCAAGCCTTCTTCAAGTTTTTTTTCTTTTCTTTCTTCTTCAAATCTTCTTCCTCTTGTCTTCTTCATTTCTTTTTCTTCAAGTCTTTTTTAAAGTCTTCTATTTCATGTATTATTTTTACCCATATCTTCAGACGTTAGGCAGAAATACATCTTTTCCTTCAAATCTTCTTCTTCATGTTTCTTCTTCGTCGTCTTCTACAAGTTTACTTTGTCAAGTCTTCTTTGGTTTTTCTTCTTCTTGATTATCCTTATCAGTACCTCCTTCTTTTTGAAATGCGGCAATGTCCTTTACGAATCCATAACTTCCTTATCAGCTTCCAGACTTTTCTAGTGACCGGTCGACTGGCCGGATGTGACGGATTTTATTGCCTTAAAATGACAGTGACTCATAATATGTCGATAAGTAACTTTAGAAAAAATATATATATATATATATATATATATATATATATATATATATATATATATATATATATATATATATAATACGCAGTTATAGGCAGGCTTTAAGCTATAAATAATGAAGCTAACGTTGTTGTGACTGTTAGTGTTTGTACGAAACTAAGAGCGGGCGTAGGTTGGTAGCAAAATAAAAACGTGTTGAAATAAATTAATTCGAAGAGAAAAATGCTGTGTTAAGGATAATATTTATTGGTATAAATTTAGGGACGGATTCTTTCATCAGGAAATAAATTTAACATGTTTTTCTTTGTTATATTCGGAGGTGGTGCCACAAGAAAATATAAAGTGATAATTAAAATGACTAACCATTAATTTCCTGTTTCTCTGCCATTCACACGACGCGGGCTGACTCACAGCCTGTTAAATGGCTGAGATAACAAATATTGAGGAGCTATTTTATTTGTTAAGGCAGACAGACCTTCGCTACTTGGAAAATCAACTTGATACCTGCAACCATTATTTTGCTGCTGTAGCGTAAATGTTATCAGCACCAAAAATAGAATTGGCCAGCCGAGTTTTAATTCCGGTCGAACCTGTGGCACCCACTTTCGCACAAATGGCACGATTCCGTCTCTTCTACTCCGCTATGGATTAAATAGTAGAGTAGACTGAGTTCTGTATCCTTGGGCGGCCAGCAGTTCAAGATAATGAAAATTCTAAACCGTTGATAAGACAACGAGGAAAGCAGTCCAATATCTTTGCCAAATCACAGATAATAAAGAAATCTATAGAAAACCATGACGAAATCTATAGAAAACCTGAATGGACATGACATCTAATAAAGGTGAATTGATTATATAGCAGGGTAGCCTAGGTTCTCTAAACTTGGATAGCGATCAATCTAACAGAAGGAAAAACTCTGATTTCCAAAATGTTGAAAGGTAATGAAAAACTAACCCACCATCTTAAAAAGCATAGCATTTCGCAGATAGTAAAGAAAAGGAAGCTGTGGTGAGTTATGATCCTCTACAGTATGAAGCAATGTTTTTCAACATTTTTTACTTCAGGGCGCACTTGTAGAATAACTAAAATTCTGGGTCACACTTTAAATTTTAATAAGGAAAAATTTGTCATGTAATTTGAAAATATGAAATTGTGATTTGGCATTCCCAAATAAGATTAGCACCACAGTTTTTACTTAAAGGAATTTATGAAGAATCTCCTATTTTTTTTTTTAGAGAGGCCAATAATAACTGATTTAAATGGCTTAAGAAAAGGATTGTCTACTCTTTAAAAAGGAATTTAGTATCCAGTTTAAAATATCAAATGACAAAGACTTGATTTAGACATGAAAGCCAAGCTTGGTGTCTCTAGCATTTTAAAAATAAAGATTTTTTAAATATAAAAATAATCCATAGATTACTCTTCTGTTAACTTGAGGTGCACCTGGTAAATTTTCAGGGTGCATTGGTGCACCTGGGCCCACCGGTTGAGAAATGCTAGTATGAAGGGACATGGCATTCAATATTCAAACGGATATTTTTTCATCGAGCGTAATAAAAAAAAGGGTTGTTATTATTATTATTATTATTATTATTATTATTATTATTATTACCTTTTAAATATGTTGTATACACATTTCCTTCTTGGTCTAAACCAGAGGCCTAAGATCATAAATAGCGTCATAACATTTGCCACTGATAATTTTTATACGAAAAAGATCACACACATTGTACATAGATAAAGCTCTTTATAATGTGAGCTGTACTTGTGAGTACATTTTTTCGCATTTCTTTAAGGTATGACCTACCAGGAATCCCTTCAATGATTCTGTCGGAACTTTTCGAATCAATCCGATGGCTCCAACTACAACTGAATTTATTGATGTCCGCATGCAGCACATTTCTTTAGATTTTCACTTCATGATCCTTGTATTTTAAGAGCTTTTTGAAAATCTTCAAAGATACATTACAATCTGAAGGGACTACCATGTCAATAAGAAAGCAGATTCTGTTTTTGTGATCTTTGATTACAATGTCTGGACGATTAGCTTTGATTGGTATGTCTGTGTGCATTGTAAACTCCCATAAAATTGTTACAGGTCCTATCTTCGTAACCGGGTCTGGTTGGTGTTCATAGAAATTTATTGCAGTTTCCTACCCGTTGCAGATTTTCCAGTGCAGATATAGGTTCACTCTATTATGCCAGGTTTTACATTCAGTGGGTTCTAACATCGTGCAACCCGTGATACAAAATGTTCCATTGTTTCTGGATATTCATCACAGAATCTGCATTTCGGGTTAACACAAGTTTTCTGTATGTTTGCTTGGTAATTTCTAGTTAACAAGCGTTGGTCTTGTGCAACAAAAACAAAACCTTCGATTTCAGCCTTTAACCCTGTACAACGTAACCACAGAGGGGTACGGGGTTTGTCTACATCAGCTTGTTTGTTACGGGCAGAGTATTGACCATGAAGAGGTTTATCTTGATACCGTTTCTGCTTTTGGCCCATTGCATTTGCTTTTGCCTTCTTTTTTAAGTTTATTATAATTATTATAATTATTATTAAAGGGTGTTCCAATAACTTGAGCCGACTTTAATGTGAATTAAGTTTAACCGTCTAATATTTTTTTCTTTTTCTTTCAGATATGGCGGACATTTGTGCGATATTATTTTTCACACATAATTTCCATGACTTAAATAAAATGATTCAATAGAGAAATAAATCAATTTTCACCAATAACACTGATTTATTTACCGCTGATTTTAATCCGCCTTAATGAAACACCCTTATATATAATCCGTCTTAATGAAACACCCTTATATATAATCCGTCTTAATGAAACGACCTTTGTTATTATTATGTAAATATTAGTCTGAAAATGATACAAATAAACACTGAAATATTCATGAAGTCCATGTTTTGCAAAAATCATCTCATTTTTTTTATTTTTTTTTTTTTGTAACTCTCATTTAACATTTTCTGAGAAGATAATTGGATTCTGCACTCATGTGAAAATGGACTTCACCGTATGGATTAATCAACCATATTTAATAAATACAAGAGAATGACATTTTCTCTCGTTGAAATATGCTTGGGTTTATATGTACCAATAAATATTGGATTTTTCTTAAAACTGAAATGTTTAAAATTTCATATTCTGTTCTAAAAGGAATATACAATCTGGTTATTTTCCCAATTTTTATTAAACTTTAAAAAAAAAAATTCATTTATAAATAGCAAGATTTTTTCAAAATTTATTTTGATAACATGTTTCAGTACTGCATCGTGACAAAAACAATTTCTGTATAGCAAAATATGATTTTGGGATATTGATTTATTCCAACCTTTATTAGATCTTTAAATGCTTAATGACGTTGCTCTTTAGATGACCTAATATATAGCAATATTTTTAGATGTTTATTTTACTAGCTTATTTAATTACATACTTCAGATGTGAAGACTTCATAATGAAACTGACAAATGTTACAACATATATTCCTGATATTTTTAGAATGTTCGAATTTAGTAAATTGTTTATATAATGTTTAAATTACAATTGCATTATATAGTTTTTTTATGTGATTTCTATATATAAAAAAAAGGTTTTTATATTAAATTTTAGAATTTTAAGAAAATTATAATATACTAATCTCCTATAAGATCTAGTATTAATTATAATGATTAAAATAAAAATCCAATAGTAATTATAGGATTATAAAATAATCTAATATTAATCATATAGATTAATCGTAATTATAGATTAATTATGATATTAATTATATAGATTTCTACTGATATATGTGAAAATACAATTATAAAAATTATAAAATATATATTAAGTAAACAAATAATATAAAATATACAAATACATAAAAATATAAAATTATACAAATATATAAATATATATCAAATTTACAAAATATATAGTGAATATATATAAAAATTATAGATTACCGATAACCCACTAAAGAAAATGCGATATTGGATATTGTGTTAAATAGGTCCACTCTTATGATATCATCTGAAATACAATCTTAACGGAGACGCTTTTGGTCAACAGTTTGATGAATTTTTTTTACACAGTCTAATCAACAAGTCCATAGCCTAGTGATGAAAATCATTTTTCTGCAACTATCAATCTCAATATTGAATACTAATCTCATCGACCGGAATTTATACAGTGAAAATTTCCGATCAAAATTATTAATGCACCCTTAAATAATACTTAAGATTATTATCGTAATTATAATTTTATAGAATTTTAAAATGTCTTAATGAAATTTTTTTGTGACCGTAAAAATATTGAAAGAACCTAAACAAACACCTCTGGATTTTTTTGTGATCACATTTGGGTGTTTTGTTGTTTTAGGGAAGATGATACCAGAAACTGGTGTCTTATCGTTGTGAGTGGGAGACTGCCTACTGATACCGCACCCAGAAATCGTGGTCGTTGGCATAGCCCACTTTTTGCCCTAATACCAGATTTCTGCATCGCAAATCGGTGTTACGCTTTTATTTCAAATTATAAGATCTATTCAAAATATAATTAATTTGATAGCAAAAAAAAAAAACGGATTGATTTCAAAGTATAAAAGTGAAACTATTTGATTAATATTATTATTATTTGATCTTAATTTCAGTTAATGTTGTAGCACACCTACTGACGATAATAAGTATGTCCACATTCACATAAATACAGTAGTAAATACTGTATGTTGCCTGCACTTAGAGATTCGTCTCCAACTGTACTGATCAAACTCTCTGCCTTCAGGCAGAGAGAATCCCCAGACGAGGCTATGTCGAAGGGCAAAGTCTCGTCTCGGGAAACAGCTACCCGAGCCCGTTTTATACAGTGAATATGGGAAATTTTGGGGCTCGGATACCCCATATTAAATTTGGCCTTGTGCCACATTTGACCGCGTTGGGTGGTTAGTAGATATCCTGCAGTCAGAGATTCGCCTCCTGCTGTGCTGGTCAATCTCTCTGGCTCCGGGCAGAGAGGATCCCCAGACGAGGTTACGTCAAAGGGCAGAGTCTCCTCTTGGGAAACAGCTACCCGACCCCATTTTATACGGGGTCTACAGGGAATTTTTAGCCGAGCCTACGGGCTCGAATGCCCCACATTAAATTCGGCCTTGTGCTACATCTGACCGCGTGGGGCAGTTGGTAGATATCTTGCAGTTAAAGATTCGTCTCCAGCTGAGCTGGTCAAACTCTCTGTCTTCAGACAGAGAGGATCTAACCAACGCCTTTATCCACTGTGCCATGTCCTCAAGGACACATGGCACAGTGGATAAAGGTGTTGGTTAGATCCAGTGAAATGTTCAAGAGTATTATGTAAAGGCGCGATCATTTTAAACAAAATGTTTTAAGCCACAAGATTAACACAGCTGCATTAACTATTTTTCCGTTAATATAGGGGACGCCAATCTGCGCAATTATCTGGAGTGAAATTAGTAAACAAAATAGGGGGCTTGAGAGCCATTCAATGTACAAGGTTACAGTTAAAATAATTATGATGAATGAAGTTAGTGATTTAAATGAAATAGGAAGCGCTAGAAAAATACGATTAAGATAAGGAGGATAGATAAAAATTGACTTTGACTTTAAATATTAAGAGTTTAGCATTCACGGAAGTACCTACGCGGGAGTCTGCTCCACAAAGTGGCAGTTTTGGCAAATAAAATTAAACTTTCTTCTTACCCTTAGAACCCAGAGGAAATGAAGATATTTCGCCTCCATGGACGTAGCATGGCGATTTCTAGTTGCGAAGGTCTGAACTGGTAGCATTATAAATGGAGCTCTTATTAATATTTTCCATTTAAATAGAGATTCCCATCTTTTTAAAAAAAAAAAAAAAAAAAAGAGGCTACAAAATGAAGAATGTCTTCTCCAACAAAGCCACATAAACGATTTTGAACTCGATCTATCTGGAACGTGAAGATTACTCGAATGTCAGACATCCGCCTACCCAAACAAATCCTCTTCTCGTAGCTCGCATTTGACAAGAGACCACATGGAGCCTCACAACGTCGATTCAAGGATCAGCTCAAAAACACCATGCTGAAGACAGATATCGAACTGGTCATTTGGGAGACGGAAGCTGCAGAAAGAACCAATTGGTGAATGTCCACGAAAAAAAAAACATCCTTCGAAAACAGCAGAAGACAAATAGAAGAGACGAAGAGAGCACAAAGAAAAGGGAGGAACTCTCCATTCCCTGAAACCTTCCACCCTACCATCCGGTGACTGCTGACGTCTCTTCAGATCGAAATATCTCTTCCAAAATTCTTTGTCAGACTTCAGAAAAAAAGACAGAATCTCAAAGAATATAAAATATATATGAAGTATGATAAGGGGTGCTATAAAAAAGAAAATTACAACGTATATCAATTCGGCATTTAATCTCCTTCAAAGTAGTCCTCTCCTGAATCCGCACACTTTATCCTGCATCGTTTTCATTCATGGGAGCATTCCCGGGGTTCCTTTTTGAGAATAGCGAGCCGCTGTCTCGTTGCATTCTCTTAGATTTCCTCAGCGTCTTGAAATTTTGTTCCTTTCAAGTGAGACTTGATTTTGAAGAGGAAAAAATCGCAAGAATATGGTAGTTATCGAAGCTGGGTAATGATGTATTTGACTAAAAACTGCTGCACAAGCCATGGCCATTGATGGAGACTCTGTGGTGTGGTGGGACGGCCACACTCTACACACTTCCATTTCAAGCACTGCTATAAACAACCTAAGTGAACGAGAACGTTATAACTCGTGTGTATGCGCGACCGAGTTCAAGGTCAATCTGTGCCAAGTGGCTTCACTATGCATATATTTTAATTCCGTTACCATAACAAGAGACCTGATACTTTTTTTATCAGACCTCGTAAATAATAAGTCACATTCTTTCAATGTTACTTCTGCATGCGTCTTTTCAATTAATCCTCGTATATATTATATTATTTGTTTATCGTCTACAAAAAGCGGTTGGATGGGAAACAGGTATGCGTTAAACCTGCTGCGCATGCGCCTTAATCTTCAACAAAGATCGGACATTTAAAAGAGAAAGACATAAAAGTTGCTGCTTATCATTGGCTGATCTCAATTGCAAGCTGTGAAAATGTCTACGTTTGTGTAAACACAGTGGCTAACAAACTGAAAGGCTCCTTAAAAAAAAATTTGCTTTTTCTATTATCTCCTGATATTTTTGTCTGGCTTCCTGAAATTATGTCTTTTTACTATTATACATTGATTTATTTGAACAATTTTTTAACGTTTTTCCGCGCAGCTTTTCCAGCACTATACCCAACAGTATACCTAAGGGATGTGTTGCATTTGGTACCGTTCAGGTAATGTTGAATAATTATGATTTCTAGAATGACCAAAGAAGGATACTGGAGGCGGAAAATATAGAAATAAAAACATTGTAATCTCATAGATTGGATAAAGATAACCAAATGTTATTACACCTGCGAAGGCAAAAGTGTACAACAGCTGAAATTCTGTGACAAAAATACCATATTTTACTCCAATATTTAATGTCAAAATCTGGGAAGTTGTTTGATCTAAAGAATGCCACACTTATTAAAAGAGGAAAAAACTTACTTAGAGAGAAATTTCTTGAGAGTGTCGCTATCGGATGTTGTCAGAATATAAATCTATGTCTCGAATTTTTTTCAAATATCTTTCCTAAAAGATATACTCCTTTCTTAAGCCAACATACACGATCATAAACTTTTTTTTAAATCTAAAGAAAAGGGTTAAATCAAAACATTCTATTATTTAAAAATAAATAAATATATAAATAATTTAACAAATTTAAATAAATATATAAACAATGATTACATGAATAATAAATTGTAAGAAGTAAATGTATAAACAAAAAATAAAAATTCAGCAAAAATAATTACATTCACACACTTTCGTTTACTAAATTAAACGACATCACTTAGCATCCATTTTAGCATATTTTATCTTCAATTTCACATTTAGCCTTAAGAATATTTTAGAGAGTTCTTAAATCTTAAAAATTTGAAAACCTATCGGTATTTCTACTTCTGTTTATAAACACATGTTGCAAAATAAAATCTTTATATTTATCTTGAGAAATTTCATCAGCGGACGAAACGCGTTGATAAAGAATAGTTTTCCTTTTGTCTTTATTCATATTGTCTTTTTTTACAGATATATTTTCATATCTGAATGCACACACATATATATATATATATATATATATATATATATATATATATATATATATATATATAGTCGACTCTCCCGTCGAGATTCGACGTATGAGGTCAAGCAGATCAGTTTCAGGAAACCGACACCGGCACATGAGATTTGATTACAGTGGTGAAGGTTTCGTGCAGGACCATCCACACTTTTTGAAGGGACGAATACAGAGACCTGGTGCACCAAATTCCACAAGGTTCCCAAACGACCCTCCGCAGGTTTTGAATTCAGAGTTGTCCTTCTCCTAGACCAGTTGCCATCCAAGGCTATTGAACCCAGTCTGTCCTGCTATTTTACCCATAGCTGGAGGAAGAGAAAGAGGATTCATACCTTTCCCAAGGATATTAGCACGTAAGTGAACGTAATGAATTCGACTGGAATTCGAACTCGGCTCTACTCAATCCAAGCCGCTATCCATTACTCCACCGTACCTCCTATTTTAATTTGAGCAATTTTATATATATATATATATATATATATATATATATATATATATATATATATATATATATAGTCTATTTAGAAGATAGATAAATGGTGGCCATACGCGGGCAAGCAAATAAATAATCTAATCTCAAATTTATACATGAAGTGTAAATATAATAGTGCTCGATGTGGTTAGACAGAGCAAAGATATATATTAATTAGTAAATATACGTGTACGTACGCTTTAGCGTGCAGGTACACGTATATGTACTAATTAATATATATAAAGTTTAATATATATTTAAATATGTTTGTATAGTCTAGTTCATTTGGGGATGTTATTTGTAAGAATACGTCGAGTTATTTTCTGTTTCGAATAATATATACTAATTAAAGTATCAGATTGAATATTTGCTCAAAGAAAATCTTGCACATACAACTGTAACATTATTCCAAATATTCATATTCGAAAAAAGAATATCTTATACAGCTCCAGATGTCATCCTACCAGGCACTACCGAATTACGACCACATCACGTTGAAACACCAGTTCCCTGAAGTTAAGCAATGTCGAGCCTGGTCAGTACCTAGATGGGGGACCGCTTGGGAAAACAGGGTGTTGTAAGATTGAATTTACGGGTGGTGAAATGGATAATGGCGCGTAATTTTTAATCGGAGATCCGAGTTCCAATTCCAGTTGATTTCGTTATATTCCCTTACGATCCACCTCTTCTCCCCAATGTATGGGTTAATTATTAAGGTGCGTATAATCTTCTTTATATTCCAGTGTGCCCCTCAAATCGTCATGACTCTGGACAACTTGCTGTCCTTTGTAGCTCTTAATAAATTATTCTGGTGACCTACCTACATGTGAATGGACTCTTCCTCCTTCATAAATACCAACCTGTGGAGACAGTCGAGACGTAGTGTAACCAGACAGTTTGGACGGACACTTCTATCTGCTGACTAACAACTCTCTTACTTTGTATATAGTGATTTTCTAAGCCCGACTTAGACCTGGCCTCTTACTTTGTATATGTTCTGTTAGTTCTTTCCGTGTCTTTCTTCTGGTCCCTAACAGGCCACAACATAAATTTTGTCTTTTTTACTCCAAAAACCCTGTTCCGCCATACATTTACTCAAGCCCACTAAGAATGCGTTGTTTTCCACTCTCCCTTTTGCCTTCAATCTGTCCTGTAAGGATCAAACCCTCCTTCTTCATTATGTGCCCGAGAAATTTCAACTGTCTTTTCCTGGTGTTAAGTATTAGGTTTAGGAAAATGTCAACTTTTGTTGACATTTTTCCTAAAACTTCGTCGTTGCTCACATAATCGGTCAATGGTATACTCAGTATCCTTCTGTAGAACCACATTTCTTTTGCTTCAATTTTCTTCTTCGCTTATCCAGAATTCGCTGCCATATAGGTGGACAGATATCAGGTAACAGTTTAGTACTCTTTTCCTTGTCTCTTGCAAAGTATTTCCATTTCTGTGGGCGTATTGGGATAGCCAAAGACGTATTCTAATATTCTGCTTAGCTTTTAGAATACATCTTTGTCTATCCCATAACGCCTCCAAACTTCCGTGTTGCACTTCCCGTTCTCTTTTAAAACACTTCCCAGTTAATTAACTTTGTGTACGTGTTTGATTTTCTTATATTCGATTTGCAGTTCGTACTTTATACTCATCCTTATGCTAACAACCATGCATTCTGTCTTCTTGCAGTTGCTATTTAATCCTTTCTTCTCTCTTTCATTCACTGCCTTCTGTAGGAGTTATTGCAGTTTTATTTCCGTTCTTCGCTATCTTATGTTGCTAAGATTGTGACCGCCAATAATGAATCTTGGTAGGACTTCTAATACTCACAGAATCGACTCACTATATAGATTGAATAAGTCAGGTGAGATGATACATCCTTGTCTTACACTAAACAATTATTATCTCCACAAATACAACAAAATTGCGTACAAAATATTTAGACTTCGTTATTAAATAACCCATCGTGGTTGATATACCACTAAACAAAAACAACCAACCAACAACAAACCAGGTACTACTACTCTTACAGTACAGTACTACAGTTAAACTCGAGCGACCGAGATATCCTCAAATGAGAAGTGCTGAGGAAGCTTGCGTCATTTTTGTCCGAAGCCTCATTACTGATACTAAAGTTGGGGCACCCACCTAGAATTGTAACGTGGGATTTCATCCCGTTTTCGAGTGCCTCGCTTTTTATAGCCGTCAGATAAAATCTTTGGCATCCACTTGACCGAATGGAACAAATGAATAAATAAAAGACAACTTTTGGAATCAAGTGACAACAAAATGGGCATCGAGAACATCCGGTCACAGGTCAATATTAATCAATTGGGAATTGAAGAAACCACTTCCTGTCCGCTCTTGCTTGGGGACAAATTGTCCTTCGGGCATTTCCGATGCCACCTGTTCGTGTTGCCTGCCACGCGTCGTGATATTGAAATAAACTTGATGGGAAAAATATTCGAAGGGAAGAGGTAAACTGTTAGTCTGACATGGCAAAAGTTATAGTAAGTTTTACCTACCTACCAACCCAAATCGAGCAATCGAAGCCCTGAATAAAGCACCTAAATATAATAAAAACAAGATTCAAGTCTTTCATGGAGTTTGTTTTCCTCTTTCGTTTCCTTGTGAGCCAGCGTTTTTTGTTTTTAGTTGTTGTTTTTTTTTTTGGGGGGGGGTTACGCACATTAATAAAGGAAAATAGAGAATAGGTGGCTTGTCGGTGGCAAGCTAGGGGGCGTCCCCGTTGTATGTTTACGAATGTAAGCATGTAATACCCACTTTAAATTCGGTCTTGTGCTACATTCCGTTCAAGAGGGCGCCGGGATATAAATCTAGTTGAGCCCCAGCGGAATTCTTCCAGGCACTATCGCTCATACAGGATAGTGGCAGCGCTAATCCATAGTGGCTAAGACGTCCTTCAAGGGAAAATTCCAAAGATGATTCAATTAATGTTGTACTAGGTCTCATGTGAATGCCACTTTATATTCGGCCTCATATAAGGATATGACTGCAACTTTAAATTCCGTTCGAGTGGGCTTGCAAAGTGTTGAAACTTGACTAATGCATGGAATAATAATGCAACACAAAATGTACTTAGAACAAAATGTATTGAAACAAGAAAGTGTACACAATATTTACATATAGTCTTTTGTATATTCCTGGTAAGACCGTTCCTGGAGAATGTGTTGACTGAGTCGCAGTCGAGCAGAGTCTCTGGTTGAATCTCTTGATTCCTTCCTCTCTTCCCGGTACCAACCATATTTGTATGGTCGGTACTCCACTATGCAAATTAGGTGGATCCTACCACAACACAAATGCATATCTACTTAAATTCCAACGAGCATCGTACCAGGTATAATCGATCGTAAGAGACAGTACTATGGCTAATCTCTATTGGTAAGACGACGTCCTTAAAGAGAAAGTGCTAATGAAGCTTGGGTAATTTTTGTACTGGACTTCATATACGTATATGACTGCCACTTTAAATTCGACTTCGTGTTGCATTCCTTTCGACTGAGTGTGTGGATATATATATATATATATATATATATATATATATATATATATACTTAAGTATAAAATTGGTTTATATTAAGAGATACTTACGCAGTATAGCCTTCACTTTTTTTGTTATACCCTGCCGTGCCGTGTTATTAACTAGACGACATCAAACTGACTACCAGTCGCTTTGCTATAGACAAAACAAGATAGAATACAGGGCTTTAAGTTCATGATTTATCCTAGGTACAAAATGACGTCAATAGCAGACAATAAAACATTAAGTGTTTCGTTTTCCAGTACCTCTCACATTAAGTCATTTCGCTTTTCTTTTTTTTTTCCAACGTCACTCAAGAAACGAGAATAAAACAGAACCTCAACACAAATGATGCACTGGACCTTGGATCAAAGCCAGTTAAAAATACATCGGTTGAAAAAGAAAACTTTTTCATTACTAGAAGAAAATTTTCTTCAGCCTTTTTTTGTTTTTGCAAAGTAAAACAAGCAATCACTGATCTTTCCATTTAATTTTTGATACAATCTGTATCAAAGTGTAGTTAATGTCAAAGCATTACCTTGATGCCACCTGCCCAAAATCTGAACTCCATCAAAGTGCGACATGTCATATAAATTAGGTCACATTGTTTTTGACTAATATTTCCTTCATTTTAATTCCTTTTGTTTTATTCTCACTAATAGTTTTAGATGTAATATGATTTGAGTTTCTTAAATGACGATTTATCAATTATTATTAATTTTTGTCTAGTATTTCTTTCATTGTATTTCTCTTTATTCACACTGTTAGTATTCTCTGCAATATAAATGAATTTCTTAAGGGAAGCATTCTTAATTATTATCCAATTTTGAAATAGTATTTCTTTCATTTCATTTATTTTGCTATATTTACATTACTTGCAGTAGATGTAATAATATTTGAATTTCTTGAATGTAATATTAACAGTTATTATGCATTTTTATTTGTATTTTTCCTTAATTTCTATTGCTTTATGAAGATGACTACTCTTAGATATAACTTGAGCTTCTGAAATAGAGCCTTGGTAATTATTATTCATTTTTTGACTAAATATTTCTTTCATCTTATTTCTTTTCCTTGATTTAAACTAGCAAAGTCACTATTTGCTAGAATGAAACAACGTATTGCATTTCGCAAATTCGGCTCCAAGGATTATTGGCGTCTCTACAAAACGTACTTAACAACAGCAAAACCTTCACTACCTCCTTTGTTCAACCAATTTGATGTCCTGAACTCCTCAGCTGAGAAGGCTGAGTACTTTGCTCGGAAATTCTCTTCCAACTCAACACTCGACTCATCCGGTGTACCCACACCCGATTTCCAACCCTAGAACCAAGGCTCTATTGAGCGAGTTGCACATAACCCCGTCGTTGGTATTGGGTATCTCAAACTTAGATTCCCATAAGGCTAGCGGTGGAGACGGGATACCAGCCATTGTTCTGAAGAAATGTGCTCCTGAACTGGCCCCTGCCCTCTCCAAATTATATAACAACTGCCTCAATGAATCTTGCTCTCCAGCCTGTTGAAGGTCCTTAACTATTGTACCTGTCTTTAAGAACTCTAGAGACCCTTTTGACCTATCTAACTAACGTCCTACGACTTTTCGGCAAAGTTTTTGAAGCTTTAATCAACGCTGAAGTGGTTAATCAACTTATATTCCATGATCTGCTCTCTGATAAACAATATGGTTTTCGATTTGCCCGTTCTATAGATGATGTGCTCACGGCCATAACTGAAATTCTTTACCAAGCAGTCCACAATAACAGAGAAGATCGTGCCGTGGCTCTAGATATCTATAAAGCGTTTGATAGGGTTTGGCACGCGGCCTTCTTCGCAAGCTTAAGGGATACGGAATTTCAGGTCGATTATTTGACTTAATTCGATCATTCCTGTCAAACCGTGTAATGAAGGTCGTCAAACGGATTCTCCTCCAGTTCCTTTCCTATGAACGCAGGTGTTCCCCAAGGCTCTGTCCTGGGCCCTACTCTATTCATTACCTTCATTAACGATCTTCCCGATGTCAACAGTTCCCAAGTAGGCATCTACACTATT